TTGATGGAATATACATCTGGAAGGGAAATTTTATTGAAGTTCAAGATGCAAGCTCAATAGGAGCATTTCACTGTGAATATTGGAGAATTCATTGGTAGAGTTTAGACCATAATGTAAAAATTTTATAACCTAAAAGTAATTGTGTCTAAATCATATAGTTGCTCCAATCTCAGCAGCTCCTCTGTGTCATTTCTCTTCTTCAGAGCTTTGTATATGGCTACCTGTCTCTGCTTTTCTATTTCTCTGAAGGTTTCTGTTCTCCAAGGGGAACATTAAAGGTCAGGTGGCGAGATGCTCATGCTAATCAATCCGTTCCTAGCTAGGATTTTCAGCTACTTGCTCCAGCAAGGATTACCAGCTTTTGCAAAACATCTCAACATCCTGAAAATCTCAGGGGGGTATTTTCTGCAGAGTCTGTGACTTCTTTCCATAGACACCAACGTGGCCGATTCTTTGGGTAACATTTCCTTTTGCAGTCCGGGGTGGCAAAGCTGTTTGTCAGCTGTAAGCACATTCCAGCAACCCCCTTATATCCTACACAAGTGCTCATATTTTGGTCTTGCTTATAAGGGTGAAGAGAGTGGGATTGCTCCAGATTTGTTTACCACTGGAAGTTGGAATGAATATTGCTTTCCAAGCACTTCCTGATAGAAGCTTTTCTGTCCTGTTGTGTATCTCCTCTCCTGCTGCTGCCTCTCTTGCCAGGCTCCACAGCCTGTCGTTGTCAGGGATCTGTTCAGTGTCTCTCTGCTCCCACTGATGGACTTTGAACCGTTCTTTCTGAAAACCCAAGGCAATTCTTGCACAGCAAAGCTGGACTTTTCCCTTCCATCCTGACATCCAGCTCTGTGGGACTCTTCCCTGTCCCCCTGCCCTGTGGGCTGGCTCCCCTGAGCCCAGCATCCCGGCCTGGATCTCACTTCCCATTGCTCAGCTGTTTCCTTGATCCAGACAGATGCTCAGGTGCCCTCTTGGCTCTGCCCTAAATAGGCCTCAGCACATGTTCCAGCAGTTCAGTCCCCCACTTTACAGCTCCCATAAGGAACAGCACAGAGCCATAAGAAAGCCCTGGCTGAATTTCAATGAGTACAGTGTGACAGCACACTTGGGTAATTAATAGGGCCGAGGGGGAGATAGGATTTGTGTATTTATCATTATTATTTCTTCATTATCTTCTAGGTATAATATAAGCTGCAGAGGCAGCAAATGCAGACTCTACCAGGAAAACTCTAAGGTAGAATTTCCCTGTTTTGTAGTGTTGAATATTTCATGAGTTTCAAATGCCAATTATGAGTTACTTGCTGCCTGCTAAGAACAATAGGCAGCTTTGAAAGGACTTGCTCCTGTTCTTCCAAGCTATACCACATGTTCATTGACTCCATTTTCATCTGAGAATTTAGAAGTTCAAGGGTGAATCTCTGACCCAAGCAAAGGTGGTCCTAAAAGACCAGCTTGCACCGCTGCTGTTCCCTGAGCTACAGGATATCAGATTTGATGGCTCTCAGTCTATTCTTCTGTAGTCCTGGCTTCATTTGGAACGTCATTTTTCACATTTGCATTGCAGCACTGGCTTTTTAATAAAATAGCACCATATATATATATTCCATAAATACATATTCCATATATATCTATATCTGAGCTGGCAAAATTCCTTCAGAAACAAATGAATCTTTGGCTGCTTCACCTGCATTCTCTCTACTAAATCCATTCCCTTTGTATCTATGCCAAGTCTTGGAGCAGAGTCTGACAAATATTGTTTAAAGGGAGGTAACTTCCCTCAAAAACAGTTCTACCTTTTCCTGACAGGTGACTTCTCTATACCCCCTTTGAATGTACTGTGAGCCAGTGATAGGTAAGACTTAGACCTCCAGCAGGCCTGGCTTTTCTTAAATATTCTAAAAATATGTCTATAAAGGTTCATTTGCTGACATGGAAAGCACTGCCATAATGCCAGCAATAAATTATGTTCACGATAGTAGTTTCATACCATTAGACAAGGATAATTCCCATCTCCCTGCACTTAGTTCTTAGAAGGCTCTCAAATAAAATATCATTACTTTGAAGTCCTCTGGACACAAAATTGTCATTACATTTTAAGGACTTGAAAAATTCCTCTGAGTTTGGTACCTGTAACCCCTGTAAGTTTTTAGAAGTGTTTAGGAACCCAAACTCGGAGACAGAGGTGCACAAAAATGTACCTTCTGGACTGAGCACCTTGGGTGATTCCACGAAGCTTAATGCTTTATAGAGAGATGTAAAGGTACCTGTGGTCTGTATGCGTGGTACATAGCCTGGACAGTGGTGGCTGGGAAGTGCCAGCCAGAATTCCAGGCACGGGGATCTCTGGGTGTTTCTGGAATGGTGCAGCAGAGTGCCAGGCCCTGACTCAGTCTGTGCTCCTGAGCATTTCCTTCCTGCTGCAGAGGTGATGCAGGAGGACTCTGCTGCTCGGCTGCCCTGTTGTGTCTCTGTCAGAGGATCTGATTTGTGTCACCAAGTAAGGCAGCACTCTGGGAACATCCCAGGAAGGCCAGGGAACGGAGTGTGGGGATATTCCGAGCGCTGGAATACCTAAAGCTGAAGGAGAACAAACAGCTCGATTCCTTGAGCACGTCCTTTACTGCTCTGTCATTCTCTCGGAACATCAGGGACTGTCTTTAAGAAGCTGCATCAGTTTTGGATGCTGTGCACCTCGTTAATCAAAACACAGCCTTTTGGAAGGCACTTGATTGCAGCTGAGGAGCACAAGTGCTTACACCTCAGCATCCCCAGTGCCTGGAGGAGGGAACAAGAAGAGGGAAAAGACCTTTATTGCTCTCACTGGCCTAATTCACGTTATTTGATCTCCAGGAACATTTGAAAATTGAGAGTTATTTCCCCAGAAAAGCTTGTTCTATCAGAAATTGTGAAAAAAGTAATACTATTAAATAATATTTGTGCTGGGTAGCTGCACTGTAGAGTATTTGAAATGAGTCACAGCCAGTCTGGGTTGTGCCAGGAGGTGGGAGGAGAAGAGGAGCAGGTGAACACATCAGGAAGGGATTCAGGAGAGAGCAGGCAAACAAAGATGAGGAAGCATGTGCTGTGTGTGTGTGTGTGTGTGGTGAAGTCACTGCTGATCATGGCATTTCCTAAAGGAAATGTGCTGCTTTAAATGGCAAAGTTACCTATGGCGAGTGACTCCTGGGAGGGAAGAGGTGAATATTTGCTCAGGAAAGCAGAACTGCAGCGGTGGTGACGATTTCCTCCCTGCTTGCAGTGGGCATTCCTTGCCTGTGTTCAGCCTCCCTGTCTTTGCCTAGCAGGTGGGATCTTAAATGTCTGAAACAACAAATATTCTAGAAAGCCTGAAATGCTGAATTGACACAAAAATATATACAAAAGTCTCTCGTATGGCCAAAAAGATTCATAATTTAACTCCACTGGTTTCAAAGGCTCGACACTAGGAAATAATCCGAACTAGTTTATCAGTCTTAAACATCACAGGATAAGCAGCCACTCCCAAATAAGCACAGGCGCGGCTGATTGCTACCTCTTTACCTCCTTTTCTCCGAAAGCCCCCTCTCAAATACCAAAAGGGAAATGTCTGATTTCAGCTGCTTTGGCCTCTGTTACACGGGGTGCATTGTGGCCAGCAGTGAAGGCAGGAGGATTCCCACGCGGAGCTGTTCTTTTCCCAGGAGCGTCCCCCGGAGCCGCGCCGGTGGCGGGTGAGCCGCAGGAAGTGCTGACTCAGGTGCCCACTGGGAAGTGGGTTTCCCCGCGTCGCAGGGAGAGCCCACGCATCCCACTGCCTCCGCCAGCCCAGCCCAGCCCAGCCTCCCTCAATCCAGCGGGGGAGCTCTCGGAGATGCGGCTTGCTTTTATTTTTTTATTTAATGGCTTCTACAGATCCAACCCCGCAGGGGAGGCACAGTACCGGGTTTGCATGGCTAACGGGGAGCGAGGCAGCCAAGGAAAAAAGATCCTTCCGACCCTTCGGCACTCTGCGGACGGGTGCGAACGCAGCTTGTTCCCAGCAGGCAAACTTCTGCTAGGCAAGACAGGCACTCCCCTAGCCCCTGTTTTGCATGCAAGTGAGATTTTCAAGGTGAACCGCTGCTTTCCCTTTAGATTTGGAATCGCCCCTTCCCACAAAACCCCCCGTGCCCACACAAGCAAACCTGCCCTCCAGCAGCCACACCTCCAGGAGGAGTAGGGATCGCCCGCATCTAAGGGAAAAGGAATATTCTCTCTCCTATTTATTTTTTTTTTTCATGTTTGTGATGCTGCTATTTTTAAATTCGCGGCGGCCCGGTGCTCGTGGCCGATAAGCCCCGGCTGGCCCGGAGCCCAGCGCTGCCCGGCCCCGCGGCTCCGCAGCGCCCGGTGCCCGCAGGAGCGGCGGGAGCAGCCCCGCGCCCGCCGGGCGTTGCCCCTTTAAGAAGCCCGGGTGCTGTCTCAGGTAGGCAGAGCCTGTGTGCAGTAGTCGCTCCTATGGCAACCCAATAGAATGGGATCGCTTCATGAATATTCCCAGGAGCAGGGGCTGCATGAGGAATAAGTGATGACAGTGATGTAAGCAAGCAGTGGCCGCTGCAGGTTGCAGTTCATTGTGTTATTGGCCGGCAGGTTGAGGAGTTTGAGGCACCCGGGTTTGAGCTTCGCTTTCCGGATGATGTCTGCCCGCCGGGAGACACGGCACATTTGCATCTCGAAGCCAACATGGCAAGGCGGCTGCTGCTGCCGCTACCGCCCTCCCTCGCCTTCCAGCCAGGAGTGTGTGGCTCTCCTCTAGACTTCTTGCCCAGTGCTCAGGATCTGAGCAGACGGGGATTGCAGTAACACTCACCAAGGGAAGACAAGCAGCAAGTAGCCAAATCGGGACAACGGGGAAGAAGGGGGGGATTTTTTGCCTTCCCTCTTTTTTGTTTTTTTTTGTTTTGTTTTGTTTTGTTTTTTTTTCTCCTTCCCTTCCCTTCTGGATGCAGAGGCTGTGTTTTGATGCAGAGCCTGTGGATGCCACAGCCTGGTAAGGAGATGACACGCCAGTCTCTGGTCCCCTCTGCCCCTTGAGCTGGGGGCAGGGGCCTGGGGGCAGTGCCGGTTCCCCTCCCTGGGCAGAGCGGGGGTCTCTCCCTCTCACTGAGCAGCAGCAGCAGCAGTATCGGCCATGGACAAGCTGCCCCCCTCCATGCGCAAGAGGCTCTACAGCCTGCCCCAGCAGATCGGACCCAAGGCGTCGATCATGGACGAGGAGGATGACAGCGACAAGGACACCCGGAGGAAAAGCATCAGGCTGAAGCCACTGCCTTCGCCCTCTGCTGGGAGCACCCGGGCCCTCGGGGGGGACCCCGGCAGAGGGGGGGACCCCGGCCTCCTGGAGACGGAGGCCGGCGGCAAGGGCGCCAAGACCAGCACCAACGGGGACTGCCGCCGCTTCAAAGGGAGCCTGTCCTCGCTGACCAGCAGGCACCTCCACGACGCGGCCGAGGAGAAGAGGCTGATCGGCGGCGAAGGGGAGCCGGCCTCCCCCAGCGAGGACAAGAGCCCCCCCGGCAGTGGGGAGCTGGAGCAGGGGCTGCCGGCGCCCCCACCGCCCGCGTCCCCCCCGGAGCCTCAGCAGCCCCCCCGGGCCTGCTCCTCCACTTCCATCAAAGTGGAAGGAGGTGGAGGGTGCGACCAGATCACCCCAGATGAGGAGCAGAGGCTGGGCCAAGCCGGTTTCATGCAGAGGCAGTTCGGGGCCATGCTCCAGCCGGGGGTCAACAAATTCTCCTTGAGGATGTTTGGCAGCCAGAAGGCCGTGGAGAGGGAGCAGGAGAGGGTTAAGTCTGCCGGGTTCTGGATCATCCACCCCTACAGCGACTTCAGGTACAATCCCCCCCTTCCTGATCCACTCCAAACCAGCTGGTCTGCCCTTTCCCACATGACCTCCTGCACCGTGCACCCACCCCAACAGAACTTTCCTTGCTCATCTCCTAGTCAGGGGAGCTGGAGGACACATCCAAGATCTGCTCCACTCAAACAATCTGCAGGTTTCATTTACATTTAACCTTAATTTTAGTGCCCCACACAATTATTAATTTTCAGTTGTGTTTTTAAACCAGCAAATATCTCTTGCTTTGGCTTAATGTAAGGGGAAAGGCTCTCCTTAAGTTCAGTGTAAATGGGGAAAAATGTTCCCACCTGATGCACAACTCCAGACTAAAAGCGTGGTGTCTGCTGCTTAACTAGTCCTACATGCCCAGTTCAGAATGTGTGCTCTGCCTGACTAATGCTTCCCATTTTCACACCTCAGAGTCCTTTCTCCCTTTTCCTTCCCCAAGAGTTAGGGAAGGATGTTGCTACTGTTGCTGCTCCTTACAGTGTCTTACTGCAGCATGGCTTGTCAGGAATTGGTATGTGCAGGGGATGGCAGCATTCATTGAGAAGGAACTTAACACCTTCAGAGTCTTACAGAGAAAGATCCTCTCTTTTGCGTGTGTACATCCTTATTTCCAAATTTAATCTGGATAGGGAATAGTTAACACTGGCTTTATGAAAGTAATGGCAACATTTCCATGGAGGTTAATAAGGAAACTAACTTGTAAACCCTAGAGCCAGTTATTGTGTAGTTCTGCACAGCAGAGGGGTTGTGTTTGGGTATTTCTGAGCAAAGTGTCATCTACTGCACAGGTGAATTGTCCTCTGCAATATGTATGTGAAGTACTGCAATCAATAATTAATTACTTAGTGCAATCAATGGCTAAGGTTTATTGCTTCAACTTTAATTACAACAGGCTTACATCTCACATTTAAAAGCACATGGTAGAAGAACATTATTCAAACACGTATCTGTCACACTACATGATTTTATTGAATTTTTGGACTCTTCACAAGAAACCTGGTAATATTCCCTAAAATACAGTCAGCAAGGTAATTGCAGGAAGGAGCTCCAGGGTGGATTTGGGTGCCCAAACAGCCATGTCAGAAACCTCTTGACACTACCTATTAGGGATTTAGCAAGTAGCCCACACGCTGAGCAGATTCAGCACTGGCACTGACCAGATTCCTTGATATTTGCTTGGATTAACAAATGTTATTAGAAGGCTATGTGAGTTGGAAGACTGCACTGTCATTTAAATTCAGTGCATTCAAGTGTCCCAAGCACACAGCTGAGTGAGCTTTTGAGGGCTTCCAGTAGCTACAGCATTATACATAGTGCTTGCAAGCACAATCCTGCCCAATCCCAGACTGGAAGGACTATAAAATAGCCTCCCAGTTGGGACTGATCGAGCAATAGCTCACAAACACTGAAATGAGACACTGATCAGCTTTAAAAAGAGCAAACCCTAATTCATACTCTTGGCTGTAGATCTTTGCGTTATTTGCCACGAGTCTGGAGTTAAAAACTAACAACTGTGTTTTCTTGGGTTATTTTAGCAAGGTGTTCTCTGTATGTCACACCCTCAAGGAATTTTGGATTTAGTCTCTGGACTGTATTTGGATTTATGCAAAAGCAGCATTCAGTTTGCATGTCTTTGTGTCTCTGTATAGTGGGTTTATTCCCTTCCATCCTTATGACTGTTTCAGCATAGAACCAGCCTGGCAAACTTGAGAGCAGTAGCTGAGTTGTAACCACCTTGCCCAAGGTGAGATGGTCCTAAGAGTTTGGATTTTTAAGGTTCTTACTGAACCAGTGCTTATTTGTTAAAATGATGAGGTAAGTTTTTATTTCTGAGGCACTTGGCCACTCCTAGCCTTGCACAAAGGAATGAAATATGCTGGCAAGCTCCAACTCCCCCCAGCCAGATGATCCCACCGAGCACTGAGCTGTTGTGTGCATGCAGATCTCTATGAATGCATGGATGACTCTTGATATTAGAACATAATCCTGCCCTGACGTAGCTGGGAATTTGTGCAGAGAAGGCACAGTGAGTTGGGTGTCTGTACCCTGGGGCAAGACCTGCTTGGGGGCAGATTCCAGGTGGGCTGATATCTCCCTGCCTTGTGTTTCTTCTGAAGTGGTGTGGAAGGCCAGCACACCGACATGGGCTGTGTCCCTGCTGTCACCTGCCAGCCTCGGATGGGGCAGTGGGACTGAGGGTGCACAAGGCCAGGGGGAGCTGGAGGCACCACTGTCTGGTCAGGAGGGATATTTTGGGGGGAACTTTGCTCACCCCTGTCCCTAGATCACTTGCAGCATGTCTGCTGGAATATGGATGCTGCTTAGAGAACAGGTGTGGGCTTCCAAGGAAAATGACCTGTGAACAAAGGCTGCCTTGAAGGAGAGGAGTGGGAGCCTTCCAGATTCTGCTCGGGCTTTGTATTCCTTCTTCCCCTCTACTAAAGCATCTGTCTTGGAAACAACTCACATGAATACGAATAGCGTTTTTTGACCTCTGGAATGCAGCAGACTGCACCAAAGAGCAGATATTACCAAAATATTTGCAATATCCTTGACCCAAAGGAGTGTGGTTTGTGCCTTGGGAATTACGCAGTGCAATGCCCAGTTGCTCCGTGCTAGAGATGGGTGCAGATCCCGGAGCAGTCGGAATGATCATGGAGGAATGAGGCTCCATTATCCTGCACTTTGCTGTCACCAAAGCTGTGTAGCAGCATTTGGGGTACCAGTTTCAAGTTAATAATTATTTAGACCCCGAGCTTGCTTTCTGTCTTTTTGGAGAAACCAGTTTCCCCTCTGAGAGAGAGGTGCATCTCCAGGCATTTTGGTGGAGCTCCAGACCTCGTGACTCCTGTCTCAGTACAGCTTGAGATGGGAAGTTTTGCATGGAACGCTCCAGCCCAATTTACTGCTGTGAAATGACAGTGGTGTAATTCTCTGACTTCATGGAGTTGCTTCTCCTTGCACTATGCGAGAGGAGTTCCTGATTTAGAATAGAACAGAGGCTTTCATCATTGTCTCATTAAATTATCATTTTAGCATCTAATATGGCTAATTCCAGTGGCAAATCTATGACCCTCCAAGAGTAAAGCAGATTAATATAGATTCAGGCTCTGTTGATTTCTGCTTTTAGTCCATTGTGAGGGGAAAAGACATCAAGTGACCTTTATAAAAACCAAGCTCAGTGCCCCTGAGTACTCCTGACTAATGCAGTGGGCTGGTTCTAGAAGCTCTTAAAAGGTGTCTAATGAAAATCAGAGTACTGGCTTCTCTTCTGAGGTGCAGATGTATGTGCTGGCTGCTGGAGTTTGTTTGCATCTGTGGCTGATCGCACATCGGTGCAGAGCCAAACTGTATTTCCGAGATCAACATTTATCTGTGACTCTGAAAGCTTTTTCACTGGGTAGATAGCATTGTTATGATAGAATTGTTATGTATTGCTTAGAGGAAGCATTGATCCAGTACAATTGGTTTAATAAAAAAATTCCAGACAAACAACGATCTGTCTAGTTTGTAGCTGACTGAAGCATATGGGTTGTAGCTGCTGCCCAGAATTGCTTGCAAAAAAAGTGTAGCATGCTGCTTTTAGAAAGACCTGAGAACAGATACACTATCTGAGGGACCAAAATAGTCCAAACAGTGGATGTAAATAGAACTGCACATTATTCACTGCCCAGTAATCTATTAACTTCTTCACAGAGAATAGAAGCTGCTGTCTCTTTGAAAACAATGGAAAACATTCCACTCGGTAACACACACAGCTACAGATTTTAGATTCTTTTTTCTTCTCTGTTCTCCCTTACTTGTGATACTTTCCTGCAAACAGATCCATTATTTCGTTTGCTTCCTCTGCCAGAACTCCCTGGCTGCTGGGACCCTGGGGAGATTTCTGTGGCACCAAAAAAATAGATGCTCAGGTGTGAGGTATAAGGTAGGGAAAGAACAAAATCATTTGCTTCCCGTCATGCTGCAGTGTCATGCAGCCTGCCTTCTTTGGGGGAATCAGTGGGATCTACTAATTACAGTCCAAACATCTGTACCCAGTATCACTGGTGGGACTGAGCAAAGATGGGAAGGATGTGTGGTTACCTTTCCCACTCTCCTGAGCAGACCTGATTTCCAGTCTCTCTGAGTGCTGCTCTGTCTGGAGACTCTTTTCCCTGAGAAGCTTTTCCCTGTTCTGTTAGAAGGGTAAACAATTCGTGGAGTGTCCAGCAGTGCTCACTGACTTTGGCAGCTCCCTGAGGTGGGTGCTGCTCCCTGCTCTCAGACAGTAATGCCCTTTTCTACCCAAAATGCTGCTTCTTGTGCCAGCCTCGCTTCATTCCTGCCCACGCTCAGGGGCTGCCCACAGTGGCAGCTCTGATCCCATGACTTGCCCTCTGCTCACAGCAATGAAAGTGCCCATTGTGTGAGCTGAATGTACAGCACATGGAGGTTCTGGGTCAGGGAAAGCTCTGCATGGAGGGGAAGGTCAGGGAGCATTGGAGTGGCAGCAGAACCTGTGTCTGTTGTTGGAATCCAGCGGGAACTGTGGACAGGCCCAGGTTTGGAGGGGCAGCTCCCAGCCTTGGATCTCTTCTCTTTCTCTCCATGCTGGTGGTGTGTTGCCTTGGAATGACATGGGGATGCTGCAAGCCGAGGGGGGAGTCAGATCCTGCTGCCTTTGCTGCAGAGAACTTTCCTGTCAATTCCCAGGGCAGTTTGCTGGAGCAGAACGAAGGGATCCAAGCAGGAATAATATGAAGAATAATCCAAACTGTGCTGAGCAGCATGGATTGGGTTTGTGTTGCCTCCAGTGGGCTTGGAATCGAGTTGCAAGAGAAAAAATGTGGTTTTGTAGCCATGAACTAAGGGAATCAAACTATTGCAACCATATTTCCCATGTCCATGGGCAAGTCATCACATGCTTCACACCCCAGTTCACATGTGGAAAGTAAATAATCCCACACTAGACAATCCATGTAGGAATATAGCTTTGTGTATG